TTTTATGCTATTCTAATTGGCATAACATAAACAAAAAGTAGTTTAATAAAATATCTAATGTAAGATATTAAAACCTTGTGTTATGTGCAGTAAAGAATGCCGGTGGTGATAGGGTTAATAAAACAGAAATATTACCAGTTGCCAATAAGTATACCCCAGGATTAAAAGTTAAAATGAAGAAGAGTAAAAGTTTGATCAATTCTTGTACATCAAAAGCCATAAGTAATGCTAATGTTATTGTAGCTTATAAAAAGCCAAAAAACTTGAACTGTTTACTTTGTTATAAATATAAACCTGAAAACAGACAAGAAGGTATCACTCAGTGTAATAACCTTTCTTTTTCTACTTTCCATTTTGGTCTTGTGATAATCAGCCAAAAAGATTATTGTATAAAAGTTATTTCATAAAAATATTGGAAGTAATTTGAACTCTATGTAAATAACTTATGAATTTCTTGAGTATTTAGTTATGTTTTATTTACATGTTATATTTATGGATATTAAATAATATATATATTTAGTTTACTTATAAGATTATGCTGCTCATGAATTTGAAATAACATAAAACCATTTATATTTTTGTTAAAAATATTTTTACTGGGATGTATAAGCATTTTGATTTTGTTAAAAAGAATTATGTATGGTATGTAATTAGGTTGGCTAAAGAGCAGTGTAAGTTGCAAAAGCACTTCCAACCAACTAAAGATATTGGTGCTCCTTTTAATATTCATATATACTCACACACACATATATATTTTACTGGATGCAACAAGATCTGTAATAAATATACTGAATACCATTTTTACACCTGCAAACAATAACGTCCCTGAACAACGGTAATGATACAAGCATTAGTACCTAATCCCTATAAACATTTCTACCATCACCAAAGATGTTCTACAAGACGGCCTGATTAAAAACTACTTGCATACAGCATATAATTTGATGTCTGTTGATGGTTGAAGTTCATCAACTATGCAAGAATGAAGACTTCCAGAGCATGTGCAACAAAAAAGACACATAAGTCTGCTTGAGTTATCTTTATTTAATGTTCCAAAGGATGTTCTTGCTTTAGCTGCAATGAACCATAGTGTTCTTGGATCACAAGCTGTTTAACTTTCTTCATTACCTCTAATGTACAACTGGTACCTGGTCATGAAATAATTCATATTTTATCTTCTGAAATCATGCTTTCCCTTGTTTTACTGATACAATTCATCAGTACAGGTATCCCTTTCTTCAAAATTAGAATATTTTGTACCTGGCATATCTTTATAACAACAAAATATAACTTTGAACTGGTAAGTCCTGTAACATAATCCTCAGAGAAAAGGTCAATTTTAGGTGTCATCTAATCATAGGGACAACATGACTGAATATATGAAAATTGTTACCTTAAATTGTAAGCAATCCTATAGATGAAGACTAATAATAAGCAATTTACAGAAAACAAATAAAATAAAATGTAAGAGCAGTTATCTGCAGAATTTATTGTTTATATTTAGCACTGGTAAAGTTTGAAATTTCATCAGTGAGGATTCAAAGAATTTTTTTAGCTCTCTTTCATATCATAGTAAAAACTGTTCAAATTATCTAACTCTTTCTTGTGCTCACTTCTAATGTTATATTAAAACTATCATGGATTACATAAAAATTAAACTGTTTGCTGTGTTTCTTATGATTTAACACTGTAAACCACCATATACACTTTACATGCCTGACAGACTTGGAAATGTTTCCTATTAACAGTTATAGTCATGGTCAATATTGTACATTTGTTGATTTACATGTAGAATATGATATTCAATGTATAAAATTTGAAATTCCTTCATGATTGTTCAATCTGAATGAGAACACTGTACATAACTCATGGAAGTAGCATATTTCACTGGTGTTACACACTTGTACTACAACATATTGTTTAATTTCTATATCTAGTTCAAAAAAACAAAAAATATGCCTTAAAATTTTAAAATACAGCAAGTACAGGTATCAAAGCATTTCAATAAAAATATTATACATGTATATATTATACTAATTTTAGTGGCATAATATACATTATGTATGCTTATAAGCAGCACCAAAATAGATTTGAATCTAAGATTAGAAACAATTCTTATTTATAATTTTTCTTACTGTAGCTTAACATGTGTACTTTTCTCACTTAAACAAATATTCAGTAGTGATTTGATTGCTATAATCTCTTATTTGTATGCTTTAAAAGTTCCATTGTTTGAATTTTTTGCTTTGTTAAGATATTTACATAATTAACAAGCTAAAATACTATTACATCATCAAATTTTCCTTGAAATGATTAGCTGTTTGCCATATGCTGCTGAGGTGTTATATAATTTTTTTGGTTTATTCCTACATTATTTTAGCAGAATTAAAAATACTGTTTGAGAAAACATTTAGATTCTATCATAAAACAAGAGTGATATCAGCAGTAAACATATTTTAATCTCAATAAGCTAAATTTGGTAAGTACAATTTTAAAATCTACAGAATATCTAAAATTAAACTTGTATATGACTAATATTAGTGAAAACCATGTCCTACTACATTTTGGTGTTAAAACTGTATTAAATAATAAAAGATGTATATTTTTTAAATTATAATATTAAGATATTTATTCTAACAAAATTGTAAAGCAATTGCAGCCAACCTTAAATCAGCAGTTTAGCTGAAATTTAAATAAGATAAACAATTTTTTTCCATTTTCACACAAGCTAACTTGAGCAATTACTGACAAAAGTCTACCTCTTTCACTCCAGCACTGCCACATAGATAACATGTGTTTCTGACTGGAAACACCTGAGAACCAATCAGGGCAAATCCTTCATTCCAAATGTGTTGAGGATCATAATCTTCCTGCAGAGAAAAAATGACAAAGTGACAAAATATTAAAATACTTTATCTCATAATATAAAAGCAGCTATATCAAATAAAATGTATAAATACTCTTTTTCCCTTTTTTTTTGTTTGGACAACATGTTATTTTTCATAAATACGTGGTTCCCACATTTTTGGTGGAATAAAATTCTCCAACTTTTCCCAAACCTTTCACTGATCAAAATATGTTATCCTCTGACAACATTATCTATGTTTATAATGTATCATTGAACTATTATCTATAACAATATATGAAACTGAAAAACATTGGTCACATAATGTTTAATAAACACACACAGACTGTATGGCAAGTCACAGTTTGGTTATGTGTGATCTTGCAAAGTTTCAACAAGGTGGGTCAGACCATTCTTGAATTATCAATACTTTATCAGAACATACACAACAAAGGCAGCTCTTATCCATTTGTTTATGATGGTGTATACTGACCACAAAAAAAGTAACTACAGTACGTACAATACAGATTTTAACATTTGTGATTATTAAGCTTTGATTTTTAATATACAGAAGAAACATGTTTACTGTTGTGAAATAGAATATTCTTCAACAAGTACACTTCTCATACATCAAATATTCAAGTAATATTTCCTACTGTGTGTTCATGCACAAAATGTATAAAACTTTCAGTTGCTAATCACTGCATTAAACCAATATTTCTGATATCTATAAAACAGTTAACAAAAGCATTCATTGATCAAGTATTATTTTCACATGTACTTTGAAAATGTGCATATCAAGTTCATCTATATTAAAAGCATTTAAACCTTTGAATTTATATGACCTTATATTTAGTGACTGATCAAATTATGGAAAATACTTTCAGGTTTGCTCAAGTTTAGTTTATCTGATAGTGTCAATCATATTTACAAATAACTAAATGGTAAATTCTAACTATACATACAGGACACTTCATACATGGAATCTTACCTGCTGATAAAACCTCCAAAATGTAGTTGCATTACAATCCTACATAATCACAACATACAAAGATACTTTTAAAGACTACGATAACTGGACAGGAAACATGTTTATCAATGACAGTGATACTGCATTACAATACTACACTACTCAAGTGTCAAGTTTTTAATTTTTCTCTTAAATAATGTTGCTTATCACATTAAATAAAAACAGCTACCAAGTAAAACTTTAAATACTCACGCTGCCTCTATTCTGGTATAATCCTTGGATTTAGACAATGACAGGCACTAACATATCTACTGTACTTGACCACACTATCACTACTACTAACAATCTCCATAATAACTAGTATCTCGATCCCAAGAATACACGATGGTTTTAAAGCCCATAGTTTCAAAACAATACCAAAATTAATAATCCAATTCTTTCAAACTGTACAGTATATTCTCCCAATACATTACTCAGGTATCCCAATGCATTAAATTACAGATTATTAGGTACACATGCTATTCACAGGCACAAGTTCAACTGTTTCTACAAAGATTTACGAATAACAATACAATACAGTGCCTTTGGAAACCTTTGCATGTGCCATATTATTAATTACTGTCAAATATTCTATATTTAAATTTTTTCAAAACTTGTTATCTCCAAATTATTGATACTATATACTGTCATCCATATTTTGCTTTATACACATTTTCTTTAACTGTCATTAGCAATATTCTACCTGTCTTTTGGAGATATCATCTGCCAACAGTTCCTGCCCTAGCTATTATATACATTACAATTTCAAGTGCTATAGGCAATTTTTTGTGATGTATATTTTGCTTTATAATTAATTACAACAAAATTACTGAAAAATCTTTATTGTATGTAATTATTATAGTTATTTTTGATAATTAATTGAATATATGCAAGTACAAATATGAAATAAAAACAATAACTCAGCAAAGCTGTATTGATTTGGTTTATCTTTAACTGTCAGGCTTTACCAAAATAATCAAACTGTTCATTTCATTCTGACATTTTCCAAGTCTTTCCTACACAAATATGTCACTGACATAACACGCCTACAATATTACAAGTTCCGGCTATGACTACTGTTTTATTAATACACTACAATTTGTATGTAATATCAAAGTAACTTATCTAATGGAAACAGCCTATTTAAATAGTAATATGTTAAGGGCTTTTACACCATAGCAAAATGATCTTCCATAATCTAGTTTTAGGAGAATGAGATAAAGCCTTGTTCAGAGCTCTTGCACTTCATTTAGGTAGGAATCTAACTACTGTTTACATAATATATTACAGCTGCCTTCATATTTACCTGAAGATGGACTAACATTTAGTATATTCCTCAAAATAAAACCACTTCATTATGCTTATAAATCATTATCAATTTACTATTTATACACCATGACAATTAATGAAGACTTAACAATGTTTGTGCATAAAATACACATACTGACATATTAAATGTACCAGAATTAACCTGTATGTGATATTTTTTATTGCTAATGATAAATTTTTTCCCCATCCATGTCCTAGAAGCATCGTTTAATCACATGAAATTCTCCATATTTTTTTAGGATGGGAATCCTAAGTATAAAATTCACTGACTTTTCCCATTTTTTGTCTGTAAAATGAAATTCTCCATATTTTTTAGGATGGGAACCCAAAGTATAAAATTCAATGACTTTTCCCAATTTCTCTGACCTGTAGGAACCATTTAAATAAGAATGCAAGCCATACTTCAGAGTGATAATTATGTATCTGCTTGATATAACTCATAACACAGAAAACATATATATTCAAATTGAACTGTATCAACAGAAATCTTCAGATAGCCATTGTGCAATTCTAAACACTAGTCAGTATGACAAGTGTCAAAATCACGAACTACTTATCAAGTTTATAGCATTATATGAGTAGTCACAAAAAAAATAAAATAATATAGATCAATTACTGTTTACCAATTCACAGTAAAACTGGATTGTCTTTTCAAAACAAAATAACAACTCTATTAATTTTTCTGTGTTCACTTTATCCATCCATATTAAAAAACAATAATAAAAGAATATTTTTTTGTTCACTACTCAAACTCACCATGAAAAAAAATTTTCTGTTGTATTCTTTTTATGAATTAGATATGAAACAAAAGTTTCAATTTTTATTCAAAAACCCTAATTATCAATATCAACCTGAAATCATAAAGAAACAGAGAATTACATCTCAAGGTAAATTTTTAATATACCTCATAACAAAAATTCACTCAGTAAAATAACTTAATTTTATATATTGTAGCTCTTCTTAAAGGTACATTTCAACTTCTTACAATCTGTCGATAAAAGCTGCTGTTGGTGGCATATGAATAGAATACCAAATACTGTTACAACCAGTGCCAATTCATGAAACTAAAAACAATAACTGAAGTTCTTTCGGAAGGCTCACCTTCCTTCCTCAGGGGTAAATTGGAAATAAGCAGCAGTGTAAAGTGTGATAATTAGAAGGAACAAAAACAGTAGTAGAGCATAAAAAGGGGAAGTGGAGGAGAGAGGGTTATTAGAATATGAGAAATTTCCAAAAGTAATATGGGAATTAGAACTGGCTTTAAATAGTGTTAAAATATTCAGAAACATTAATAAAAATTAGAAAAACACTTAGACTGAAATAAAAGAAAAATAATAAAATAATCATGATACAGAGATTATGTAGACTAAAAGTGATATAGAATGAAAACACTAACATCACCTTTTAAAAAAATCACCTGAACAGTACATTCTCATTCTATCCTTCAAGAATAATAAAAATTTATAGTTAATGTCTAAGTTAAATACACTACACCACAGAACAGTTAGTACCTTTATAATAAAGCTCCTTATCAGTTCATACAAAATACTGACAAATCCAGACTTCCTATTTTGGGTGGAGGTGGTATGTTGGTAATCCAAGAAAATGTTTAAAGCAAGAGAACAAAGCTTAAAAACAACTCTTCCCAGAAATTTTGGGAGTGTATCTAAAGCCAGTGGACCTCACTAAACACTCATTACACTTTTTGCAAATTTCTGAATAACCCTTGAAGGAAGACCTACACTCCAAAAACTAATGAAAAAGTGCCTGTAATGTCCTTTATCTTTACTAAATGGAAGAAGAAAAAAAAACATACCCAATAATCTGCATAGATAAGGCAAGGTTTTCGATATGGTTGTCTTTTGATTTCATACGTCTTCTGTGGTCTTGTTATGTCCCAAGTCGAAGATGTTCTGGCCTTAGTACAAACTGAGTGGGCTGACTAGAAGTCAACATATTTTCATTAATTCTTATTCTAATAACAATAATTTAGAAATAAATAAATTTACTTCCCAAATCTAAAAAAATAAAGAATTTTTTTCCATTTTCATTCTAAATATTAGAAAATAATGAAAAAATTTAAAATATTTAAAAGCCATTATTTATACTCAAAATGTAGATAAAAAATTTAATTTATAGCTGCCTCTAATAAACATTAGTTTATAAACACAATTATAATCATTTTGGTTTATTACAAAATGCAAGGTATACTTGATATCATTCACACATAAAACTTACATTAATCTTCTAACAAAACTGTGAAAATAAAGAATACCACTTTTTTGAAAGCCAACTTTTATTACAGCCTTTTGGTAACAGCATACCACAACACTTTAGTACAAGGAACAGGATTATTCTAATGAATTATATAACAATTAAATCAGATGTGAGAAACATCTTTGAAGTTAACTTTCTCGAAATAGGTGTGCGCACATCTGTGTATGGGGAGGGGGGGAGTCAAAGTGCATTGTAACAACCTTTTTTACAAAGTTACATTCAAAATTCGATTAAATATGTATTTCAATAAATTTGATATTAAAATATAGTTTATAACTCAGTTTTTTATATTATCTACATTTTAATTTTTTCAATTTTGAAAAGAAATATTTAAATAAATTCTTATTCTTTATCTTCCTGTGCTACATGACCCATGTTCTCTGAATTCTTTTAGATTTCCTTTTTTTCTCTTGTACAGGTTTCAAGGTGCCCATAAATTAGAGTAAAAAACTATAGATATCAACAAGCCAAAGTAAAAAATAAGAACCTTCCACTTTCTTTATTTTCTGAGAAACCAATAAATATATTCCACCCACTACAAAAGCTCCTCCCAACACATATTTTCTCATACCCATCTGTCAATGATAGATGTTTATAATCATTTTGTGAATTACATGATCATGATGATTGTCTGTTTCATTTTCCAAGTGAAAGCATTATTTTTCAAATAGATTTTAACATGTGTAGACCGAAGTCAGTGATGCAAATATGATGTAATTTTTTTAACCTATTTATAGGAAAACAGATAAATTATAGCTGTCTTGGAACGTTCTGTTATAGTACCCGATATCTTTTTTGTGTTCTAAAATGCTCATTGAAAACTTAAGTTATTTTATGGACAATGAACACAGAAAAAAGAAGGCTTATAAAAGCAAACACCAAAATACAAATCAGCCTATGGCTAAGACAAATGCTATATTTCTTGTTTTCATGTACACTTTTATTCATTGTTATATATTTTTAACTAAAATGAAAAAAGGAAATACTATTAGTTTATACATTCAAACGTCAATGAAATAAAAACTTTTTTGTGATCACTCTTTGAGGAATGTATGTAGTTAGTTGTTCCATGATGTAACCTGAAATTTAGTTCACCCTAAACTCTCTGCAATCCTGTGATTTATTACTTGCTATGGTAATTAGTCATGATTCAAAGAGCAATAAAATAATAAATTTAATTGAAAGCAGCTATGAAAAGTTCAGTTACAAATCTTAAGATAAATAATTGTAATTATCTTTACAATCTGCAATTATTCTATGAAAAACAATAACTACAGATGAATTTGCAAGTCAGTGTTAAGGTAGAGAAAATAAAAAGATAAAGTTCAAAGTTATATGGAAAAAGTATTTTGATATTCATACAGGAGGTTATAAAGGTGATACAAATGAAATAAGAAAATTATAAAAAAAAAAAGAATTATTGTTCTTAGCATGAAAATTCACCTTTCTCTCAGACTTCATAAATTCACAGACAAACATTTGTTAAAAATACTTTATAAAAACAACTGAACAACAGAACTGTAATTTTAACTACAAGCTTGCCAAATTTTGTGAAAATACACTCAGAATATTCATAATTTTATTATGTATAGTTTCATGGTTAAAAGGTTGGTCAAATGACTAAGCCTGTATACACAGCCAAGATGCATTTTTTATAACTTTAACTGAATGCTCATAATCTTAAACTGACTTCACTGATTCAGTTCACTGAACAAAGGCAAGTAGAGTAAACAAAAATGCTAACTCTATGCTACACAAGGCAATACATTTATCTAACCTATATAAAAGCCAGTGTGTGTCACATCATGCTTGATTTCTCAAAACAGGAATCATGAAAGGCAAAATGCATTTATACAGATAGAATAGTTTGATTACTGTCTGCCCATTATGATTTTAGGAGGACAGAGATGCAAGGGGTTGGGGTGGTTGCCATGAAACCTTATAAGTGTAGTGAATGTTGGTATAATAAGCCTAAAGTAAAGATGTAGTGTGGGATCACCTAGTCTACAGCCAAGTGCATAAAAAGTTAATTTTTTCTTAATTAAACTATTTTCTGTTATATCACAAATGCTTTTAATAAAAAACAAAACCTCTTTAATCAACAGAGACTCTTAAATTAAGAAATCAACAAATATTTTTCCAGTTTTGTTGTCTATACATTTCATTGTATACTTTTGTTAGGTAGACTAACAACAATTTCCAATATTGTTGGAATGTAGTGTTACCAAAATGTACTGGCTTTTCTATATATTAGAAATTGTTAAGCTAACTGATTTTTACCAATAATTATTCTATAAATATGCCACAAAATCATTTCATGAATGATCCTAATTTTGACTGACTCCCACAAAGGAATTTACTGACATTTGACTGCCTCTACTACACTTTTCTGCCTTTTTGTTGGTCAAGTATGATTTTGCAAAATTTATTTATTTCAGTTAGATATGAAATGTGAAGTTAGGGTATACTATGAGGTGGGGTGATAGTAAGTGCCCAGTCATTTTTGATGGGCTATACGCTAGTTATGTTACAAAAACATAGTTTTAAAAGGTTACTTCAATGTTAATATTGTGTTTCCCCTTTATTTAAATGAAATATTTTTTGATGTTTTTAAACTGTGTGTGTATGAGTGGAGGTCAAAGTACACAGACCACAACCTTTGACAAAGTGCCACTTAATGTGATATTATGTATTTGACGTCAGAGTTCTCAACTATTCATTTTACCTTGCATTGCTTATTTAGCATTAGTTCATAGTAGAGAAGAGTGAGTGACAGATACAATATATAAAAATCCTAAAATAACTGTAGATATGCATTTCAGACTTTATAGAAGTCATGCAAATGCAATGTGCAAACTATATGATGGACAAAATTATTTTTATTCTTAATAAATATCACCCTGCACTCCAACTTATCAAAGTTTGAATCAGACTGATGTCATCAATTCATAAACATATCTTGAGTTTAAATACTGTCATAACACATCTGATTTTGTGTGTACAACTGACTTGTACATTTACTAAAGGTTTGCCACATTTCAGAGAGATACATAATCCATGCAGATTCAGTTATTTCAGACTTTGTTTAGAAAGTTAGATATATATATATAAATGTTAAGCATTATTTAAAATAGCATGGAATCTGTGAAAGGTCAGAGACTTGATAAAAAAAAAACTGGAATTGTTCTGTGGTTTCAATTATTTGTACCTATTTACTTAAAAGTTATTATATTTCATTAGATTACAAGCATCATTCTAGTTGGCCTAGCCTGGTAAAATATATGAGTTCATATACACAGTTGCACATGTTGAGTATTTATACTATAACTTTTAATGCAGTAAGTGTATCTTCACAAAATTTGGTAGACTTTTACTAAAGATTATGTCTTTCATATATAAAAAATCAGATTTTTTAATAAAGCATTTTTATTATAGATTTATTTATGAAAATATTGAGCCTGTTTCTGTTATTTTCTCTACCCTAACTCTATGGGGTCTATAAATATGATGGGCCTCGTAACCATAGAGAATTGGGAAATATATTTAAATTATGCTTTTTATGTTCTAGAATGACTAAAAATTATAACACAAAAACACAAGTGTTTAGTCTAAACAGACTAAATCTCATAACATTATATATTTATATGTATCTATTATATTGACCTTCCAGCTAGGCTGGCTAACAATACAGAAGTTACAATGACATGGCTCATGTGCTCTCATGTTACCGTATCAAATATTATAAAACTGACCTTTAGTCTTTACAAAGTGACCTGTCTTGGTCATGTTTTAGTAGACTAGTATTTTGTAAAATACAGTCACATTTCAATTATTATACATTATATATGTATATACATTAATATTATTTACAAATAAATTTATAAACTTATTTTTCTCAAAACCCAGAACAGTAAATAAAGAAGTAGAGCAAACAATTATCTCTTCTTGTTACGACCTTTGTATTTGCTTACTGCTTGTTATAGGTTGCTAAGCCTTATGAAATTTCCCAAGTGGAGGATGTGAAAAGAAAATTTCTTTTAGGTTTTATACATACATTCGAAATAACCAAAAAAAATCATAAATTACCATATCAATACCATAGAACTCCACTATAATTTATCAAGCATAGTAACTAAGGTGCATTCTGGTAAAAAAAAATATGAAATTTAGAGCTCACTAAAGACTTACGTTATCCCCTTGAAATCTTGTGTGAAAAGAATGAGATTAACACAATAACACATCAAAATGGCTGAGAAAACCATATTCTGAGTGATATCTTAGCAAACTGAAAAGATAAGAGGTTCTTATTTTATATTCTAGCTTGTCAATATTGGTAGTTTGAGTTCCTAATTGATATGAAACTACATACTTTGTATTTTGACATCACAAACATCTAATTTGAACCAGTAATGCATTAAACATACCACGTGACACAAAAATCAATGTTTAGCTGTTTATTTATAATATTTACTTTTAAATTAAGAAATAAACTAATGTATAATACTAAAATTTGAATTATAATCTACAATTTAATACCAAACTTAGACATAAATTCATAAAATAGTAGTTCAATAAAAGTTTGAATGCAAATCAACAAATGCAATGACATGACCTTTGACACGCGACCTGTCGCGATAGAGTTAACCTTTTATAAATGGGTTTGTGTATTTTCCCAAAATCTAGTAATCTTTTATTAAAAATTACAAATATGTTGTTAACATAAAATTAGAATTTTTAATAAAGTAGTTCTACTAAAGATTTGTCTGACCCAGACAAGTCTGATTACAAGGTAATTTACATTTTAAGAATAAAAATACTTTCTTCATCACACAGTTTTCAATTTTCATTTGCATAACCTATAGAACCTCCTAAGTGTATATCAAAAATTCTTAAAATATAAGTTTGTATTTTATCAGTTACGTTTTCTCTCCTAACACTAACTGTAGCTAAATCAATGTACAGTTAACCTGAAATGAAAGTATAAAATCAAATGAACTTACACTTTTCTTCTTCTTTTGGTAATTAATATGTTTCAAACAATAGCAGTTTGTATTCTTCACAATATCTAGTGTTTACCTTTTACACATAGTTTAATTTTATAATTCTGTTGCCTGGCTTAGGTGGTATATATTTCATTCATGTACAGAATGTGTAAATCACAGGTGACCACATAATCATTTTCCTAGTACACTCACATGCTGCACTCATTCTGTGCTAAAGAAGTCTGCATTCATTCCAATAGTGAGCTAAACCTTGTTAAAAGTTTCTCTAGCTTTTTTGAAGAAAAAAAATCACCTTCCAAATATGCATTTTTTAAAACATAAATAGCAGATTCTTCACTAAAATAGAAGATTCAAACCTACTATAATTAAACTAGGTTATGAAAATTATTAAATGGTATGAAGACCATCTTCCCTTACTACCAATTTATAAAATAAAGACTGTCTTGATACTGCAGATGCTGCCAATTTCAAAAGGGTCACAGGGGGCTTGTAATTTAAAATCTATTTCTATTGGTTATGTGTCAAATAAGATGAGGTAGTTTCAAAGACTGCTTGGAAGTTAAAGACAGTTGGTTGTAGCTTCTGTCATGCATTGGGAAAAGATATATCTAAAAAAAAAAGATGTTACAATGTTCACAAAGTATATTGGATTTTGGCCTTATCTACAGATCATGGCTACAATAAGATAGTGTATATGTTGGGATTTTGGATTTATACTAACTAAAATAAGATAGTGTATATGTTGGGATTTTGGATTTATATTAACTAAAATAAAATAGTGTATATGTTGGGATTTTGGATTTATATTAACTAAAATAAAATAGTGTATATGTTGGGATTTTGGATTTATACTAACTAAAATAAGAAAGATGTGAAAGCTTGTACATGAAAACAAAAATAAGGGTTGAGAATTCTTTTGAGATATTTTGAAGTTAAGAAATTAAAACTTTCATAACATAAAAATTTGAACTATAAATTATATTGTAATCCTAATTGTATTGATATACATTTATAATAAAGTTGTTTTATTAAATTATGAAAGTAACCCTGTAACTTGTTGTGACATGCATAGGACAGCCCACCTGTGTTTAGACAGTTAAGTCAATTAACTTAACAGGGAAAATGTTATCCTAGTAAAACATAACACATTTACAGCAGTTAGCTTATTATTGATCTTAGAGTAACAAAGGCACTTTCAAAATCATCCTACCTGAGAAGGTGTTATTCTGGAAAGTGGGACTACTGAATTCGGAAAAACTTGTGAACAAACTGTTTTGTGACTGCAATCTGAATGATTATGGATATTTTCATTATTATTGACCTTGTCCTCAAGAAAAGGTGAAGCTACTACACTACAAGAGCCCAGAGATGGATCAAGGGCTGACCATGTACCACTACCACAGGAAACAGTTTCACAAGTACAGTGTACAAAGGAATTGTTTTCTTTCACTTGGGGATCCAAAGATGTAGAACCATAGCATTCCTTTCCATTATCACAGCCACTGGTACTAGATGAAGTCCCTGCTGAACCACACCCTGAGCCACAACGTCCACTACTGCTACTACTACTACTGCTGCTGCTACTACTACTTCCACTGTTGTTATTTCCACTGTGAGTGGATGAAGGAGAACTAGAAGAAGGAGACATAGCTGTACCAACTCCTGATGAACCACTTCCTCCAAACCCACCCATATGGTCATCACCCTCACCTTTTGGTGGTGGACGTTCAACTACCTTCTTGCTAAAAGCAGGCATTTGGGGTCTCAAGCAGCGACGATACCTTAGACAAAATATAATCAGTAAGTATCAGTTAAATATTCATCAGGCTCAAATTACTGTATAAACCATATCTTGATAAAGTAAAACATACAGCTTAGTACTACTAATTTACTTTTAATATCTTTCAACCAGTAACTATTACAACTATTAACCGCTCAAAAATAGAAGAAAACTGATTATTTTCTTCATCTGTTGTTTAGATTTCAGTTTTGAAAGAAGGTACCCTACAACTGTGACAAGCCAAAATCAGCAGATAGTGGTCAACTGCTTATGTTCTCAATAATAGTGTGCCCAGTCCAGTTGGCCTAAAAACTGTAGCAATGGTTTAGAACAGTAGCAAGTTGGATATTAAAAATAGCCCAGGGAAAAATGATTTTTATATTGACCATTCAATGACAGTGGGAAAGATTCTAAAAATAAGCAGTGTGCTGTTAAAGACACTTTGACATGTTTAAAGCCAGTTTGTAACATCTTGCTGTGACTGGCCAATTTCTATTCATCCAATAAATCTCCACATGAATAAAATATTGAGTTATCTTCTTTGAAGTCTGTCTATGGTTCATAAACAATTTAGAGAACTTTACTCTCTGTTATTTACTTTAAAGTAACCATTCAAACAAGAAAGAACATGTAAGATCACTATATTTAGCATAAGCTGAATGATGAGAAATATCTGCATTTCATACCATGTGACTAAACAGATACATGATTTACATAACCATGATTGATATGCTATTACAGTGGTTTTTGGCTTGTCTTAACTATAACATTACAAAATCTGACTGCTTTCCTTTATGTACAAATTCAGATTCATCAGATGGGAAAAGTGAGCTTTTGACTTTTCTTCGTACAATAATTACCTTTTAGCAATAAATACACAAGAAATGCTTACTTAAGAAATGGTTTTAATTGAAAATTTATTTCATGTAAGAGAGATATAGAAAATATCAATGTTATAAGTAAATGACAAACATATCAAAAGTGAACAAAAATTTTACATTAACATAACTGACCATTAACTTTGCTACAAACTCATAAACAAAGTTTCTACCCTTTTACTTTCAAAAAGTACTATGAAACAGTTACATATGAAATAAACAGCTGCCTTATTTCCCAGAAGTCATATATTGTCCTTTAAACTAAAGGAGATGGACAAAATAATGGAAACTCCTGCTAGTTTCTACATTTTTTTTTATTAATATGAAGTTGGTACTCTATGAGTAGGCAATGCAGCATTAACACAATGTGAAACTGAAGAAACAAGGTGTGATGCAACAAATGATATTTTTGGCCAATCATCAATCTAAGCTTCTTCTAAGTGTTGAAGTTGTGGTACTGGTGGAAGTTTGCTTTAAAACTTGATTTCAAGAACTAGTCAGAGGCTTCATAACATCTAAATCTGGTGATTTTGGTGGCCAAGTTAAGTGTCCAAACACTTCTTTGAACCAACCTTTAATAATTTTAGTAGTATAGACCAGTGCATTTACTTCTTGAAACAGACCAGTTCTGTTTGGGAATGATATGTTCATCATAAGATGAACCCTATTGGCTTTAAGCTTTCTGTAACCATCTGCTGTCACTATACTTTTCAGTGAGATTATAGATGCCAAACTATTCCAACAAAAACCTTCTCATACCATCACACAGCCTGTAACATGTTTAATTGATGGCATAAGACATTCAAGGTTGTAAGCTTCTTTTGGTTTTCAACATATATAAATGCATCCATTTGTTGGGAAACTATAAAAGGTGATCAATTTAATCAAACCACATTCTTTGGTCCAATTTTTATGTTCCTAACACCACTTTAGCCATGCTTTTGCATTTTTTGGTATTATTAGAGGTCTATAAACATCTGCTATGTTAAGCCATTTTACGTAGTTCCCTTACAGCTATTTTGACAGAGGATACTTGTTGTAGAATAATCTTAAATTTTGCTCACAACTTTTGAAGTCTTTTATTTTCATCTCACTGCTCGCATTAATGGTCATCTGTGACTGACCACTTCAATCACTAGTGTGTTTGCCTGATGTAGTTTTAGTTTTTGATATTTATACTAAAATCAGTTTTCTTGGGATAAATTCATTCTTTCAGGTGTCTGTGTCACTGACAATCAAGCTAGATATTCACCTACAATCATGCCTCTTTGAAATCAGACAGATCTTTTTTAGCTGTAAATTTTTAGGATTTTTTTTCTGTTAAATTTTTTTAAATACAAACAATTCAATGAAATAGAATAATTTAATGCACAGTTAAATTATTAATGTACAACTACACTTCGTAATAATTGCAAAAAGAGATTCAGAGAACAGTAACCAGTTAATCCCTCAACATTCTCATCAAAGTATGGCTACTTGCAAGCATTGATGTTTTCTTCATTAAGGGGGAGAAAAGAACAAAAGCTTGTTAAATGTTTAGTTTTGTGCATCTTCAAAACAAATGGTGGAATAAAACGTAACATATTTTTCTCCCCAAAATTTGAAAAAAATTTAAATACCTTCCAACTAGAGATATAGTTAAGAATGATCATAGACAATTTACTAACTTAGAAGTTATTGTTTTTGTACTTACTTGCAGGCTTGTTTGATAACATTTGGTCCACCAAATTTCTTCTTGTCTCTGAAACACAAAAGATATATTCTTGTGAAGATGTTTATAAAAAGTTTTTGTAGTTTTCTTTATCCTTTCTACAGTTATTAGAATAGCATTTTATGATCAAAGTTGTTTCATTTCATGTAACAGGACTATAGACAGCGAGTTTGTTTTGGTAACATGAAGTTACTTTTGGTTGAAATTGTTGAAAATGAAGAAAACATTCTGAGATCATTTACATATATGATGTTGACTTTTACTTGTAAAGTTAAATGCAATAACAAATCAAACATAAAATTACATACTGCCACCTTTAGCAAAACAAGGTTATACTTAGTGCTTCAACAAATTAAAATTAGTAGGTATAACAGTCATCTGATAAGTGGTGTCAAAACTCTGTAATAATATCAAAAATATACATACTTGATTTGCATTTTGCTTTTTCAAATAGTTAATTTTCTTTGCTTGGTTATGTCAAAAACCATTCAATAGAATCATAAACAAGTTTCAGAAGTAATAAAGTACTAATGATTACCATTAAAAGCAACAAAAGATACCACAGCATTTATCAATTAAGCTAAATTTTATGTATCAATAGTATGTACTACACTTCTACTCACAGACATGTTCAACAAACTTGTTAGTTACTGTAATAAATGCTGACTAAACTAGACTTAAGACTGTCACAGTAAAAACAAGATTAATTACATCAGATCACGTAATAGCACTTGTAAATGTATCAAGAATATCATCAAAGCTTTGCAATAATTATTAGAAGCAGCAGCCAAGTGTAGTGTTTATCAAATAAATATTATACTGCAAGTAATATCAAACCATGTTTTACAACATATCTATTAAGTAGTTTTACATTAATATCCTCAACACTGTTAATAAATGAAAGCTACTCATGGATCAGTACATATAACAGTTCAACAAAAAATCTATCATTTGACTGATGAGACATAACAAGTTAAATGTACTGAATACAATTTTTGTAGGATTAGGTCCACAAATAAAAGAACGAGAAAGAAAAAAGCAATCATTATGACTGATGTTATTTTTATGATTTTCTGTTTTTCAACCCTCAGTATGAATTCTAAAAGCCCATGAGTGAAATCAAAGGATAGTAATATGTCAACCACACTACATCTGCCATATCCAGTGCTGATGAGGCCTTTTGCCTGCTACCCAGACTCGTCAGGCCAGTTGGGATACAACAGACATAGTAATGGTCTAAGTGATATATTTTTACGTATATAAAAGAATGAAATATGCTCCTTCCATAATATCTTATTTGGTACACATGTATAGAAATGTGGTTTTTTGCTACTCATTTTATATTCAACCAAAAATAAAATCTATCAAGCAAATAGTAACTTGTAATAGCCAATCCAGAAGTAATAACCTTGAATAAATACATAACACCATAAATCAAACCAAAATCAACAATTAAGTTTCAAAAATTAACACTTACAGACAGTAAACACATTTCCCACAGTCTTCTGCAAGACAGCCTTGACATTCTCTACAGCGAACTTTCCTCATCCCACCTTGCTGAACCTTTTTGGCAGATACCTTAGGTGTTTTTTTACAGGGCACTGTTGAAAGCTTCTTGGATGGTAAGGGTACCTTATTCTCAGGTTTAGCCTTTTCTTTAGTCATTCCTTCTACATTATCTTTTTCTGTTCTACTTGGTGAGTGTTTGTTCAATTCTGGAGGACCTGTGCCATTATGGTCAGAAGTACCTAGAACAAGGTTTACAATAAGTATCATTAACCCTTCATTACCAAACAATAACAAATAATGAAGATCCGATATTTTGTAATAATATTTATCTGTCAGTAAAAGACCATGGAATTAGCTCTGCAATCTGAAATTTTTTCACGTAAAGCGCAGTAAATGTATTTCCACCTATTACAGCAACTCTTATAGTGTTAAATCTTGATGTTTTTACAATTATACAGTCATCATCTGCAATCAAAAAACTACAATTTTAAAGTATACTTTCTTGTAAAATATACAGTGGTAAATAAGATGTAACGCAAGATGCTTGGGTAAAAAAGAAAAGTTAACATCTTGTGATTCTAAAAACCTACTCTGTCCTGACTCAGTTTCCAAGATTTTTTCTTTCTCTTCAACAGGCAAGGCACTCAGACTGAATCGCTTCTTCTCTTTGCGCACTGGAAATTTTGCTCGCTTCAAACCTAATACTACTGCTGCCCTTCGACAGACATGTTTGATTCTTGGTCCTTTACGTACCACTATTGCCTGAGAATCAGGATTTTCTTCTGCAAGAAAAGTGCAAAAATGTAGAGTCTGCAGCTCCACTATAGTTCTCTAAAGTTACTTAACTTACATTTTAAAGTAAAGTTCAAATATGCATGTGGCAATCATACAAAATCAATGTATTCATTTAATTTTTACTCTTCAACTGAATATGTTTACAGTTACATGTTTCAATGCATGCACATCCAACTTACAATGTCTTAACTGAGTCACTTCACTAATATCAACCTGAAATCTATTCCTGGTATATAAACATGTATCTCCCTAAAAACCTAAGTCAAAGGATGTATAAGACAAGCTCTTTAGTTTCATGGTAATTCTTAACTTTATGCTAAGTTTCTTTGTAATATCCTTATTTTTGTGTTAAATATGAGAGCAAAATCCATAATTTTCAGATAAAATATATTACTAATGAAAAAATTATCATGATGAAAGTATTAATTTAAAATTAAAGTTCTTCAAATAATCTACTCAGAAATCCTGAAACTTCTGTCTTTCGTTAACACTCTGTACACTAGACCTTAAAATTTCTTCTTTAGTTTTATTTACACAATTATACTAATAGTAATAAAAAACTTTACATGCTGCAAACTCTTGTTTTGTGTGCTTTATTAAATAATTAGTCTCTAAAATGTTTAATAGTACCAAATAGCAACAATTACTAAAACCTTAGAAATCTACTGAGTTTTAGTATGTCTTTTAATCATATCTAATCTGTTTAAAATCTCATTTGTAATGTTACCATTAAGATAATTTATCATTAAGCATTACAATGAACACTTCCAAAGATTTAATTGTAACAGGGTTAATTTCCATGTGCTTTGCTTTTTTAGCACCACAGTATCAACATAGTTGCAAATCAAATTACTTTATTTTATAAACCAAACAAATTTACTAAAGAAGCAAAAGAAACATTTTTTCTAAAAATAAACTTATCCATGATATAAACGTCATACATAGCAACTTTCTAAGTTAAGCACCCTAGTAAATTAATTTTAAAATTAGACTAGGCAATTGTGTCATTCGCTATGAAACAGTTAAAAAATGGAATAGTTCAAATTTAGATGCATCCACATTGCAAGGTTTTTGCACTAATACAAGCAGTGAATTAGAATGTAATAAAACTAATAAGAAATTCTCAAAGTTGAGTTTTTTGGTGAGATAGTATCAACAGTTTTCCACATGAAAAATATTCAACTTTTGAGTTAACTCAATTCATAAGACATTATATCCACTCAATTTTGTTAAAAATACAGTCCTAAATTTTTTATGATTCTCTGTTATCATTGAAAGCAAAAATTCTGCACAATATTTAACCCTTTAATTAAAAACTTGTATTTTAGTCCCATGTAAAAGGGAAGTTGCTTAAATGTTCCAAAAATAAATCGTAAAAAAAAATTATTTGTGGATATGCATTAATGTTCAATAAAGTAATTCAGTAAACCAACATTCCAGTTGTAACAAGTGAGCACTGAATGAACAGATGAACTAGTAAAACTATATAAACCTATATTATTTGACAATTGTAATAAAAAATGTTAGCAGTGAAATAGAACTTATTATAAAAATACATGCTTCCAATCTGCACTTTGGAGGCAGGAAACTTCAGTGAATAGAACTAAACTACCACTAATTTTGAACTAATTTCAGAACTTTTTTTTTCAAACCAACCCACAGATAACTTGGAATTAAAACTTTGGTACAAAAAAACTTCAACACTGACTAACAAAAGTAAAAATTCCATTTCAAGCTTTTACTTTTGTTAAACAAATGTTTAAACAACTCTAATCAAAGTTGATGTTTCAGTACTTTTGTAATATATATGCATTGGATGCCCAAAATAAACAAATTAGGAACAAATTAAGACTCACAGAGTCTGAGATAAAGCAGGATAGGCTTTCTCACAGTAAAAAGTCAGAATGGGTAGTATGTTTTATGAAAAATTCTGTTTTTGTACATTGTTTTGTTAAACAAAATTTTAAAAATATTAAACACAAAAACCAATGCAATGAGTTGAATTTACCTTCAAACACAGGAATTTCTTGAAGAGACACTTTACTGCCAGACTGACCACTAATAATTTCATTCTTCTCAGAGATTGTATCTTCTTCTTCCTGCTTAGAAATGTAGTCTTCTTCAAGTACAGGAGGAACACAAAGTTCTGATTTACAAAAACTGTCAGTCAATTTACTTGAACCTGGAGTTTCAAAAGTATCTAGATATTTATCAATATATGGTTTATTTGCAGTAGTGTCCAAAGAATTTTTTATTTCAGGTTTCTTTGCTTTTAATTTATTTCCTTTTTGTCTTTTCTCCATAAGCTTGTTAGATGTTTTTTTCTGTCCCAGCTGTGTTGATATTCCATCCTCGTGAAGCTTCTGCTGTTTTCCAGTCTTATTTTTTAACTTCTTTGAGGGTTTTAGGCTTCGACAATTTCCTTTGGAATCAGTTTTATTAGACTTTATATTATTATTTTTCTTCACTTTTAAAACAGAAATGTTATCCAGTCCCTGAGCCTGCTTAATTTTCTTGATTTTCTCTTCTCTGATCCTTTTTAACTTCTGTCTCTTAGCCCTCACAGACAAACCCACAACAGGATCCTTAAACTTCACTAAATTCCCTAATAGAATAGAGTTATAATCAGCAAAAGCAATCACAATTAAATGATCAACCTTACAAAAATGTGTACTATTTTATTCTGTCAATATTACATATTACTAACTATAACATATGGTACAATTTCTAAAGCAGACTCCTTGTGTTCATTCATATATACATTAGAGATCCAAATATTCTCCCAAATGGTAAATTTCTAGGAAATGACACTTAATATGAAATGAAATATCAACACACACTATATAATTTCATAACATAACAGCTTAAGTTTGTAATCCTTGTTAAGAACTAGCAAATAAAATTTTGAAAAGTTCTTCTGGTCAATTAAAAAAAATAATTTAGCTGCTGAATAGTCAATGTATTTATTTAAACAGTTCCTTTAGTTTAACCCTTCCATTACGGGCTAGGTGGAATTTCTGTAAGGGTTGGTTCTATATGACCAACTTTGTAACCTCAATTAAAAAATTAGGAAAAAGATATAAATTATGCTTTTTTCATTCTGGAATGACCACAAATTGTAACACGAAAACAAATTTTTAGTCTGCTTAAGTCTCATAACATTATATATTTATGTATATTTATTATTTTTATTATATTGACTTTCCAGCCATGCCTGGCTAACAATACAGAAGTT